TCCTCCCACGCGAGGGGTACCGATCCTGACAATTGCTGGAATCGGCCATCGACAAAAGTCCACTCAGTTCAAGGTCTTCCGTCATGATGTCATCCGCCACCCGCCGCCCCCCCCCCCCTCCGTCTTATTTAACCTGCCGCTGTGTTTGTTTAGCACTTATCTAGCCAAATAAAAGAAAGCTGATTGGACATCGTGCGCGGTTGGTGGGTGTGCGGTGAGCTCTCAAACTGAGCCAACAGCATCTGGAGCATGCCAGATCAAGGCCCCCACCACCACCGCCACCACCACTGATGGGCAACGCTGTCCAAATGTTTGAAGGAGAAGTATTTGTCAGATTGTTTTCACGCAATCCAACGTGGACGAGTCCAAGTTAGATCTCTAGGCGAGTATGCCAAAAATGTTCACGCGAACAGCAGGTGCTTGTGCATCGTGCAGTGTGTGTGTGGGGGGGGGTGTTCTGGAGTGGTGGAACATATTTTGCAAGCATAGAGAAAATAAGACTTGATATCCATGATAGAGGATTTTTTTGGGGTTAGATCGCGTAAATATATAAATGTGTCGATAAACTCGCCACCAACACCGGCACGGCCAATTAGCGAGGTTTTGTGTCACGTGAACGGAACGTGGCCAAATCGTTGCTCGTACAGCACACCGGTGTGTTGGAGAGAAAATCCACGACGTTTACGATCTGAGTACGACGTTTCGCCAGTTATTACAACCAGCATCATCAGGCGGACAGCCAGATTTGTGGAGAAATCCCTCCCCTTCGCGCGTGAAGGGCTCACAAGTGTCGGCTCACGTCTACCCCTCTATTTAAGGAAGGAAACAGGAGGAAGACTTGATAATGAATGGCAGGCCAGGTAGATTCCAGACGTATAAAGCATTGCACAGCTAAATTAAACCACCGGTCATCAATCCAGATCCGGCCACGGGCACACACACACACACACACCGCCTGCCCAAATGCAGGAAATCGTTCATTGTCAAGGACCACCGTGTAACCCATACACTGGGGGAGAAAAATGGTGTTGCTCTATTAACTCAAAAAATATCGAGGGGCAGGTATGTATGTACGCATGTACGTATGTATGTTGAACTTATTTCGCACAGTATTCTGCTTTTGTCCAGCTAAGGGTGAGACACGAACGTCTTTGCAACAATCTCAAGGAGCGTAAATCCCACCATCACGACAAACTCCAGCTCACCCTCGCTGCCTTTGGCTAAGGGGCCGTCCATAAATGACGTCACGCACCTCGGGGGGGGGGCGCTCAGACATTTGTGACGATGTGTGACGAGGGGGGGGGGGTGTTTGAGAAGTGTGACGTCACATCAAAATGCGCAACTTTAAATACATATAGACAACACGTTCTACTTAATTAAATAGACTTTTTAATAAATGTTTTCTCCTACAACATCAGAGTGCAGCGCCTCATTAAATACGCACTACAATGACAATAGTTTAAAGCGATTTGAAGCATGTTTTACATTTTTTTTTGGGGGGGGGGAGGGGGCAGAGCTTTGTGACGTCATATTTGAGGGGGGGTTCTTAACTTTTTGTGACGCAAAAATCGTCCAAAATCGCGTGACGTCATTTATGGACGGCCCCAAAGCCATCGGACAAAGACGGAGGTCACCGCACCGCGTGCCTTTGGACGCGCTTCTGCGGCCGTCTAGAGCGCCGCTCTTCCTTCCGACATTAGGAAGCGACTGGAGCTGTGTGCGCTTTGAAATCGTCGTCTGGATTGTCAACTCATTTCTCTAGAACTGCTCCGATTAGCACGGTTGGCTACGTACGGTGCGAGAGAAGTTCAGGATACGTACAGGCATGATAGGCCACTTCGTTGAGCCATCATTTGTGGTCAGGTCACTTCTGAATAAATAGCTACATAGTTCAGTGGGTCTTAGCTGGTAAAATATACTATTTGTAAGTTTTTTTTTTTAAGTTTAACTTCTGGCATAAATCACTGCCGCTGAGAGTTCCGAAAGGAAATGTTCTCCGTGACGGGTTGCCAATAGGACGATTGTAAATATGTGCTGGGTGAAACATTGGGATGTTCATTGGCTTGCTTGTTTGTATGTATGCAGCTAAGTCGACTTCTTTGGGTGCACACGCGCGTGTGTGTGTCTATGTGTGTGTGTGTGTCTGTGTGGGTGCTCGTCTGTGTGTATAGCGTTGGGATTATTTGCTTTACAGCTTAAGCATACGTTGCTGCCAGTACATATATTTGTTCACGATTTAAATCTCTAAATCACCACTTATTACGAATTCGGCTGCAACCATTGGCCAGATGGCGTATGCAGTTCACATTGCAGCGTAGGTTATGGGGGGGGGGGGGGTTCGTCCTGCGAGAGTGTTACCTCTGTGTCTCCTGCCCCTTTGCTGGCGAGGTTTGGCAGGAGATGTTTTACTTGTCGGAGTACGCTGTCCTCGTACTGGGCAAAGGTACAACCCTCCCCCACACACACGCGCGCGCGCGAGAAAACAAACACCCCACTGCATCTTATGAACATTTTATTTTTATTTGACCAGGTTAAGACCCCACTGAGCTGTGTAGCTTATTCTTGGTTCTTTCGGTAAAGTCACGTAGATAGAAAATAAAAAGTAAAAAAAACACACGACGTTTCGATCGCAACACAAGCGGTCTTCATCAGGCGGAGAGAAAAGAGGCGAAGCGTCGTGGGTTTTTTTTTGTATTTTTTATTTTCTATCTACGTGACTTTACCGAAAGAACCAAGAATATGAATTCCTGCAGTCACGAAAGTTTTAAGTCAACATTTGAGTTGTGTAGCTCTTTTTCAGAAGCGACCCGGCCATCACAAACTATGGCTCAACGAAGTTTGGCTCATCGTCACGTGGAAATTTATAGCAGTCGAATGCTCCAAACGCGTGATGTTGATTTTAAATTTGGAGGGGAAACTCCGGAGGGCCCGGAGAAAAGTCCACGGAGAGAACACGCGAACTCGAAATATACAGCAGCAGCAGGTGTCAGGGTCAGGATCAGAACCCACGACCTCCTGCATACCAGGCGAGGTAGTTAACATATCATAGCCATCGTGATGATGATGATGATGATAGAGAGAGGGAGACACGCAAACTCGAAATATACAGCAGCAGGTGTCAGGGTCAGGATCAGAACCCACGACCTCCTGCATACCTGGCGAGGTAGTTAACATCTCCTAGCCACCGTGGCGCTCCACGCACATAGACACGCAACCTACGTGTTGTCCTTGCCTTCTATACATGCACCACGTTTATCCCTGGCGGGTGTGTGTGTGTGTCTGAAGCGTTTGATCCCAATATGAGCCACCAACCCCACCTCCGTGGCAATGAATCGGGAGGCATAGTTGGCTACTCACGGTGCGAAAGAAGCTCAACGCACACATACATGCACCGTGCGGGCTACTCGCTCTGACATCACACCGAATTTTCACGTTTTAGTTATGATTATTGCCTTCAACTCGCCGCAGCAGGCCTCCATTTCCCACGACCAGCGCAAAGGACAAAGAGAATACGACTGCTTTGTCTGCTTCTAGCAAGCACGCGGACAGGGCCAGACGCGTGGGGGAGAGGGGCTGTGACCCCGAGGAGAAACTCGGCGGAGTAGGAAGGTGCACGCACGCCGGCAGAGGGTGGGGGAAGGGGAGCACACTTGCACCGATAAGACATCATCAGTGTGGGTGAGGTTGCCGCCACGTATTTGAAAGCGTTGGGGGCTTGACAGCAGCACGATGATGATGATGGGGTGGGTGGGGGGGGAGGTGTTTTTTTCAATTCTTTGTGTCTTGTGTCGGGGTGGCCGCACGTTAGGGGTCCTCACTAAAGGCCACCAGGGGCCACCAGTGCCTCACGGGGCCTTGCGATGAAGAACGGTGCCAGAGGGCATGATGGGAGGGGGCCCGATTCCCCGGGTCGGCATCGCGTCTTTTCGCTGTCGAGGAATAACCTTTTGATGTCTTCTTCGAATTCAAGTTTGAATTTATTTCCAGTGAATGTGTGTGGCGCCTTTTTGGCACAAGTCTGCCACCCGAAGCGCCACTACATCGCTAAACGCACACGTGAAGAATTGCAGTTTAAATAACGAGCAAACAAATAAAAAGCAACACTTTTGTGTTTGAACAAAAAAGGCAGCAGGTGCTTCAGTTGTATTGTTTAAAGTTGTTGCGCCGTTTCAAGGCATACGGAGTGTTAGCCGAGTGGATTAAGAATGAAACAGGAAGTGTAACCCAAAAAAAAACCTCTATTAAGGAGGCGTTATGATGTCCAAACACCAAATAGATACAATTTGCAAAGAACTGAGTACTGCATTAACCACACACAGTACTCGTCAGTGAACGTGCAAACAAACATGCCTCTGACAATACACTCATTGACTGAAGCTGCAAAGAATATTCTTTCCTGCTTCAGAGGCTTTCACCTGATGACGATTGCTTGTGTTGCGATCGAAACGTCATGATTTTGTGATTATTATTTTTATTATTTTCATATCTACGTGGCATTACCGATACAGCTATTTTTGCTGTGACTGTTCCACCTGAAGACGGAAGCTTGTGTTGCCTCTCAAACGTCGTGACTTAATTTATTTGTTTTCATTTATTTTATTTTACCTACGTGACTTTACCGAAAAAACCAAAGAGTATGAGTCCTTGCAATCACGAAAGCTTCAAATCTATAATTACCGAAAGACCCAAAGAATATGAATTGCTGCAGTCACAAAAGCTTCAAACCAAGATTTCATACTCTCATTGTCTTTTCAAAGACAAGCATGCCTCTGACAATATGCATTTTGTCATAGACAATATGCGTATTTTATTTTCAAAGCCTTTTTTGAAAAGACAAACATCGCTCTGACAATAAACGCATCGACTTTTCACGCGTCGTCTCCTTCGGCGCTCGTCTTTTGCCCGCGAGTCCCAGGTTCTGGTTGTTGTAGTCCCCCAACTGCCCCCCTCACCACCCCCCTGCCTTCCCCTTACCCATCGCCGATCGTCTCTCCGTGCAGGCTCTGCTGTGGCTCGCGCTGTGCACGCTGTGCACGCTGTGGAGTGAACGCTGCTCGGCCGAGACGCTCTGCGGCTCTGAGCTGGTGGACACGCTGCAGTTCGTGTGCGGCCCCGATGGATTCTACGTGGGTACGTGGCGCGCGATGACGACACACAAAGACCAACATCCCCCCCACCCCCCACAACCGTACAGCTTACACGGACTGTTATTTCGTAATTGCTTATGCCTAAAAAGTATAGAAAATGGCTAATATTCCACACACACTTTGCTTTTGTGACCGGGGCAGTGATATTTTGAAATGTACCTATTTTAAAGGAGAAAACGGGCAAATTTGTGTCTTTTCGTTCACATTAAGTCAGAAAAAAACAACATATGAATCAAAATTAACATGTATTCATACTAACTTTATACAAAAATGACTACAAAAGATTTAGAAGCGAGTAGTTTTTCTAGATTTATGATTATACTGTAAATCACTTTCACGAATCAGCCCCCATATGTCGTCTCCCATCATGTTCTCGTTCTACTGTTCTTGGTAGCGGCGTTCAAAGTCCAGTATATCCTGGTGGAAGCGCTCGCCTTGCTCCTCCAAGTACGCTCCCATGTTCTCCTTGACTTTATCAAGATGAGCATCAAGGATATGGACTTTGATGGACATCCTACAGCCCATTGTGCCGCAGTTCTTCACCAGAGTCTCAACCAGCTCCACGTAGTTTTCGACCTTGTGATTGCCCATGAAGCCACGAACCACTGCGACAAAGCTGTTCCAAGCAGCTTTCTCCTTACTAGCGAGCTTCTTGGGGAATTCTTGCACTCCAGGATCTTATTTATCTGTGGCCTGATGAAGACACCGGCTTTGACCTTTACCTCAGACAGCTTAAGGAAGAAGTCTTGAAGGTACTTGAAGGCTGCCGACACCTTATCTACAGCTCTGACAAATTGTTTCATAATGCCCAATTTTATGTGCAGTGGTGGCATCAGCACCTTCCGGGGGTCCACCAGTGGCTCCCACTTGATGTTGTTCCTCCCCACAGAGAACTCGGTCCGCTGTGGCCAGTCCTGCCTGTGGTAGTGCGCCTTGGTGTCCCTGCTGTCCCAAAGGCAAAGATATCAGGGAAACTTGGTAAAACTGCCATGGAGATCCATCAAGAATGGCACCATTTTTAAGTCTCCGATGACCTCCCAGCCATACTCATCATAGTTCAAGGCGTCCAGCAAGGTCTTGATGCTGTTGAAATCCTCCTTGAGGTGCACCGAGTGAACCAGGGGAAGAGACGAGTACTTGTTACCATTATGGAGCAGCACGGCTTTGAGGCTCTTGGATGAGCTATCAATGAAGAGGTGCCACTCATTCTGGTTACAGGCGATTGCGATTGCCCCCAACAGACTGGTCATATTGTGGCAGAAGCAGAGCCCATCTTGATGGGTGAAGAAGCTGCATAAAGGTTGGTGACGCTTCCTCTAATCTGCGACTTGCACACTTTCATCCAACAAGTTCCACTGCTTGAGCCTAGACGTCAGCATTGGACTTGGTGAGACCAAGATCTCTGATCAAGTCGTTGATGTTTTTTTGGTTGGGGTAGTATGGGTTTCTCTCCTCAGCTCCACCTCTTAAATTGTCATCTGGATCTACAACGTCTTCCTCTCTCTCTGACTTGCTGCTCTCTTCTAAAGACGGCTCTTTCTCTCCAGACAAGTGGGTATGGGGAGCTCATGGCAGTGTGGCACCGGGGTGATGGATGAATTAAGGTCCGGATACGTGATAGCAGGTGCATTCTTGCCAGTCCGACGTTTGGAAGGGTCCACCATTCAGAAGTAGCAGTTGCTTGAGTGGTCAGTGGGTTCCCGCCAAATTCTTGGGATAGCGAACTTCATGGCTCTCTTTTCCTCTCAGTACCATCCTACAAAAATACATTTATTTCACCCATGACTAATGTGTAAGAGATCCTCGCAACATTTTTCATGTATGATATATTTTTTCAATAACATTGAAAATTGTAAAACATTTAAAAATTGAAAACTTTACCAATAATTTTTTTTAATTAACTTTATAACCTCAAATTCCGTGCAACAATTGTCCATCTTACCTTTCAGAGTTTTTTTGCATTGCTCGCAGGTGAAATGAGGTGCCCAGGGTTTGTCTTGACCTCCGACAGGCATGGCGAAATATGCCTTGTAGGCCTCACACATCTTAGAAGATGCTTCCACAGACTACTTTTTCGCTATTGTCTTGATAAATTGGCCGCAGACATAGCAAAATGCGTCTGCCAGATGCTTGCAGCCTCTTGATGCCATTTCAGAAAAATGCAGATATTTATCCACTTCGGCAGCTGGAACTAACTAAACTGGTGGGCTTAAGGCCCCTGTATTTATACTACTATTTATATTACTGGAAAATTCTCGAATGTTCTAGAAGGTACTCCAAGTTTACTCTGTACTGAATCTATCTGGAATGTTCTGGAAAAAAAGTAAATTTGAAAACATCACTGTCCTGTTTACAAAAGTGAAGTTTGTGGGGAATAATAGCCATTTTCTGTACTTTTGAGGCATACGCAATTAGGAAATAACACTTACTACCCAGGAACCAACAAAAATGAGTTACACAGTGTAATAATGAAGGTTATTTTTTAGCGGGATAGCGAGCTCCTCTTCTGGAACCGACGAGATCCTCTTGAGGCCAACACGGCATAAAATTGCGCTGTATCGCTAGAAACCTTCCCTGGCCCAAACGTCTGATGCTCGCCCACCACACCTGAGAGGGAGGTGCAGGTGATGTCCAGGTGTAACCGGTGTGAATGGGCAGAAATTAACGTCATGTTGAGTTTCAGGATCTTAGCAGGATGCTAATACTAAACTCGTCAAGCGCCCACCCTCACGAATACGCAAACACACAAATGCACAGATAAAGATCCCCCTATAGCCTTAACAGACCGTAGGGACAAGTGCTGTTAGCGAGCAGCACCTATTAAGAACGACACGGCACGCGACGGGGTGGGTGGCCAGCACCACGCCCGGCCGCCTTTGTCTCTCGAGTGGCGATGTTTACCACACACCGCACCAGGTACTCATTTGAGGCTGAGTCGACCTAGTTCAGGCCCAGGTACAGTTGAGATAATCGTCACCGGGTATTGACCATGAGGGGGAATCGAACCCAGGTCTCCACGGTTCGTAGCGCGGCGTAGCGCTAACCGCTTCACTACCGCTCCTCAGAGGCAAAGACAAAGATCCCCCTTGTAGCCTTAAGAGACTGTTTGGGCAAGTGTTGTTAGCGAGCAGCACCTATGAAGGCGGGCACGGCACACGAGGGGGTGGGTGGCCAGCGCCACGCCCGGCCGCCTTTGTCTCCCAAGTGGCGATGTTTACTACACACCGCACCCAGGTACTCCTTTGAGGAAAAGACACGCACGCACAGACACGCACGGTCACTGACTGCCCTGAAAGGCCTGTCCGTCATTTAAAAAAAAAAATTCTGGTGAGCGTACACCCGTGTTTACCTACCCGGGTCACCAGTTGATTTGAGAGGTGAGTCGGGGAGGTGGGGGGGGGGAAGTGTGGGTGTGTGGGTGGGGGGCTTGCTGGTGGATCTATGGAGGGGGTTTGTAGGGTCAAGAGGAAAAGGCAGAGGCTGCGGTGAGGAGAGGGGGGAGGAAGGGGCCAAGGGTGGAAGTTGCCACGGGGCACGGGAGGCGGGCAGTAAACAGGGCTTCTTTTGGGCAACAGCTCACACACTACCGGCTGACTTGGCAGATTCTGTCTCAATATCTCACTTTATCTCGTGCACAACCGTTTTTTTTGTTTTTTTTCTGATAAAAAAATGTTTCGTGGGTTTATCTTTTTTTTTTGCTTTTCTCTCCCCCCCTCTCTCTCTCTCTCTCCATTTCTTTACTTATGCGTTTATTAGTGTTATTTTTTTTATTCATATTAAGTAATCTATTGTTGATACAACAAAAGTTCGTTGCGTGATCATGTTCGTTCATTATCAACGGGCTGCTCGGTTGTAACGTGACCCGCGTACGTGCCAAGTGGCCACAAGACCATTTGTTTTCATTCTCTGGACAATGAACGTGGTTTTGGAGTGTTCTGCTCTTTTGGAATGTTGACTTTTATATATTTTGTTTCGTGCGTGTGTGCGTGCGCGCGCGCGCGAATTGTGGTCTGAGATCGCCATTTTTAGCAATGCGAGAAACGAACGAAAATGCACGCGCACGGCCCCGATGGTCGATCCACTGCTGGATGATGGCCTCAACATTCTCTATTCGTTTACATTTTAGAGTTTATTTTGTTGAACTGGAGCGGTGGGGCGTGCGGGGCGGCGGGGGGAGGTCACCAAAATGACAAAACAAATCTAAGCAGATAAAATAGAAAATCAGCAACGCAGCAAATTAAACAATCAGCACAAAAAGAACCGTGGCACATGCAGGCATGTAAGATATTGCACACACTCAAATCAAAGTTCTTAACCGCCCAAGAACTCTCCTGTGTGGCATATTATTATAATAATTTACATTTGTAGTCGATGTAGTATTCCAAACGGGGTGGGGGTGGTGGGGCTCTTGACAAAATAAAATTAAGACATACTCTGTTTTTTTCGGTAAATTCACGTAGGTAAAAAAATGAAACCTAAACTAGTGACTTTATTTAGTTTTCATTTATTTTATTTTTTACCTACATGACTTTACCGAAAAAAACAAAGAGTATGAATCATTGAAGTCACGAAAGCTTCAAATCTAAAATTATGACAGTGGTTAGAGTCCAGCAAGTGTGATCAATTCATGACGTCTAATTTGTTTTATGTAATAGCTGCCTCAACGAGAGACGGTGTCTCTGTTTCAGGGGAGGATTATGGATGTGCCGTTATTATCTTGTACAATTTTGAGCACCACGGTGGCAAGGAGATGTGACCAACCTCGCCTGGTACCCAGGAGTTCGTGGGTTTGATCCCAATCCTGATGCCTGTATATTTGGAGTTTGCATGTCTCTCTCCCTGTGGTGTGGATTTTTCTCCGGGTCCTCCGGTTTTTGCTATACATCTCCAAGTGATAAGCCACTTCGTTGAGCTATCATTTGCGGCCAGGTCGCATCTAAAAAGGAGCAATATACAGTGAGGGAAAAAAATATTTGATCCCCT